CTGGCTTCGCTTTCAAATTCTTTGGGCGCGTAGAACTAAAAATTCTCTAGTAAGCTACAGAGAAAGCAACGGTTTCACTCAGTCGATTTGAGTAAAATAAATATTTGAAAACTGGTCTCCAAAATTTGTCAGATAAGATGGGCAGTAGCCATATTTTCAAAAATTCGCCAAAACATGCCATCGCAATGAGCCTCACAGGACAAGTAGAGCAACGAACGCTCTATTCAGTTATGTACAAAACAACTCGCTCACTCAATACATTTTGAGCGAATAAATTTTTGAAAACTGAATTGTTGCATTAGATGTACAATGGAAGGAAAAATTTTAAAAAATTCGGTAAAATTCAGGAAAACCCGTCATAGCAACAATTCTTTCAGGAGAAACTCTATTCAGTCATCAGCCAAGCCACTCAAAAAACCCGTAAGATTAGAGCAAAATTAATTTTTGAAAAATGGTCTGCCAAATGCAGCTGCTTTAGGTGGACGAATGGACAGCTCTATTTTCAAAAATTTGCCAAAATTCCTCAAAAACTGCCGTCTAAATAGACCTTTCAGGAGGAGTGGAGCCAAGAAAGCTCTATTCAGTTATGTGCAAAACGTCTCGCTCGCCCAGTGCATTTCGAGCAAATGAATTTAAAAAACTGATTTGTTGTATTACATCGACAATGGGTAGATAGCAAATTTCGCCAAAATTCCTAAAAAACCCCCATAGCAATGAGGTTTTCAGAACAAGTAGAGCTAAGAATTCGCTATTCAGTCGTGAGCAAAATAACTCCGTTACCAGGTATATTTGAGTAAAATTAATTTTTGAAAAATGGTCTACAAAATGCGTTGCTTTATATGGACAAATGGACAGAGCCATGTTGAAAAAATAGCAAAAATTCCTAAACAACCCCCATAGCAATGAGGTTTTCACAACAAGTAGAGCTAAGAATTTGCTATTCAGTCGTGAGCAAAACAACTCCGTTACCAAATAGATTTGAGCAAAATAAATTTTTGAAAAATGGTCTACAAAATGGGTTGCTTTATATGGACAAATGGGCAGCTCCATGTTGAAAAAATTGACAAAATTCTTAAAAAAAAACCCATAGCAATGAGGTTTTCACAACAAGTAGAGCTAAGAATTYGCTATTCAGTCGTGAGCAAAACAACTCCGTTACCAAATAGATTTGAGCAAAATAAATTTTTGAAAAATGGTCTACAAAATGGGTTGCTTTATATGGACAAATGGGCAGCTCCATGTTGAAAAAATCGCCAATATTTACAAAAAGCCGCTATTGCAATGAGCCTTTCAGCACAGGTAGAGCTAAGAATGCTATATTCAGTTATGTACCAGACAACTCGCTTACCCAGTATATTTTAAAAAAAAATTAATTTTTGAAAACTGAATTGTTGCGTTAAACAGACAATGGATAGCAAACTATTCACAAATTCATGAAAATTCAGGGAAGTCTGCCAACGCAATAAGACTTTGAGGAGAACTAGAGCTAATAATGCTCTATTCAGCCGTTAGCAACTCAACACTCAGTTACCCAGTAGATTTGAGCAAAATTAATTTTTGAAAAATGGTCTGCAAAATACGATGTTTATTTGGAAGAATGGGCAGTCCCATTTAAAAAAAAACCGAAATTCTTAAAAACTGCTATCGCAATGAGCTTTTCAGGACACGTAGAGCTAAGAATGCTCTATTCCGTTATGTGCAAAACAACTCGCTCACCCGGTACATAAAAAAAATATTTTTTTAAAACTGCACAGTAATATTTTCCATAAAATCCATTCTGATAATAAACACGCAGAGTTGAAAGGGCAGTTTGTGTTACAGTACTATAATACCTGGTGGCCCAAGTTGAAGAAAATTTTGGCAGTTTAAACCGATGAATGGGAACAGTTTATTCGATGATTAACGCTTTGATTTGCCGCCGGCAGCAGCTTGAACAAAAGCAAACAAATAATGCCTTGAAGTTTAATGGTCAAATTGCTTATTGTTCGCAGATCAGCCCACGAAGTCGATTCAACAGTGGTTACCGAATTAAGTCAAGTACCCAGCGTGGGATTCTCATTGTGCGCCCATATTCATTTTAAAATGGCATGATTTATTTCGGTATGTGGAGGTGTTGACATATTCGTGAATTCCGCAGGAGGTTTTCCATTCAGAATTGGCTGCTGATTTTTATATGCTCTATTCGGCATGTTTAAAAAATTCAACTTGATGATTTGGGACTCTAATAGGGAAGAAATAGGTCTAAAATACAGATACTCTAAAGTTTTCCAAAATTGTTCACAAATCATCTCATACACCTACAACAACTAAATTTTGAGGATTTGTAAGGGAAGGTCCACTCTATTCAACGGTGGTAAAGGTAACATTTTAGTATCATGGGTATAAGCGCCATTTATTTTTGAAAATTAATCTTCAATATTCCACAAAACGCACGAGTGGACTCAAAAGCCCAATTTTTAAAAATTCGCCCAATTTCATCCAAAATAACCATCACAATTACTCTTCCAGGGGCACATAGGGGCAAGAATGCTCTATTTGCATATATGAAAAGCAACACTCTTTTGTGCTGCATATGAGAGGGATCAAGTTTTGAAAAATAGTCTGTAACATGTGCGCCTAGAGACAGACGAGTTGGCAGGAATACTTTCGAAAATTTGTCAACAACTGGTATAACAATGAAAAATTCGGGATACGTAATGTCGAAAATGATCTGTTCTGTTATGGAAAAAGCTACTCTATAACGCACTGGATTTAATGAAATATTTTTTATTCTAATCGGCACAATGTGTTGCTCGAAACGGGCCAGTGTACAGCCCCAAATTCAAACAATTACCAAAATTCATCAAAATCAGCCGCAGCAACGAAACTTTGAAAGGGCACAGAATCCAGAATTATCTATCGAGTAGTGGAAAGAGCAATTTTTGTAGTGCAATACTTTTGAGCGAAATTAATTTGTGAACATTGACTGATGAACGAGACGATTCGACAGCGGCATAATCAAACACTTGTAAAAATTTAACCCAAACTCATTTTACAATGAAAATTTTAAGCAACTGGGCATATGCAGCTCTATTGAATTAAGGCAAACGCCATTTTTTGGCTCGGCACATAAGAGCAAAATTATTTTTTTGATAACTAGACTGCGAAATGTGTTGATGGAAATAAAGAAAAAACAAGCTGGATTTTCAGTTTTTCTAAAATTCGCAAAAAATTGCCGTTGCCGGAAAACTTTTAGGAACCGCATAGAACCAGGAATAGTCTATCCAGTTACGTGAAAAGTAACCCTTTCGTCAGGTGCATGTGAGAGACATCAATTATTGAAAACTGGTCAGTAACATGTGCGACTTGAGACTAAAACACTTTAAAAATTCGCAAAAATTCACTACACACCGCTGTTACAATGAAAATTTCCGGGCTTGTGAGCCAAACATGCTCTATTGATTTATGTAAAAAGCAACTCCTTTCTCTAGTGCATATGAAAAATAGTAATTTTTGAAAACGGCGTGGTTTGATTCAAACCTGATGACAGAAACATTTTAAAAAATTTGCGAAAATTTATCAGAAACTGCGATCATATAGAAAATGTAAAAATACATAAAGCAACAAATTCTTTACTTATTTATCTAGAAAGTAACTACTTTCGGACGTGCATGTAAAAACTGTATTTTTAAAAAACAGCGCGCTTTGGCGCAAACGAGTAGATAGCAATGTTTTCAAAAATTGGCGAAAATTTATCAGACACCGCCATCACAATGACAATTTTGGGACACGTAGAGCCAAAAATGTTCTATTTATTTATTTATAAAACATCTCCGTTTTTTACCGCATATGAAGAATATTAATTTCCGAAAACGGCGTGGTTTCACACAAACGTGTAGACAGCAACATTTCCAAACATTTGCTAAAATTAATCACAAATCGCATCACAATGACAATTGCAGGACACCTAGAGCCAAAAATGCAATATTTATTTATGCATCAAACATCTCCGTTTTTTAGCGCATTTGAATATTATTCATCCCAATTTCAGTCCACATGGAGCAAAGAATGCTCTATTGAACGCTGTATAAAGCACCAATAAATGAGAGCAAAATGAATTTTTGAAAATGAGCCTCCAAAATATGCCGCTTTAGACAGGCGGATTCGTCCGAATGGAAAAAAGCATCCATCGTCTGTGGCAGCTTGATTGTCCTTGTAATCCTTTTCAGTTAGATAATCATGGCAGTCCAAATGCGTTGTTTTCAGCCTTTGTTCAGCGGAACGTTGTATATAAAATACCGAGCGTTTACATAAATAATTATGTCGGGCCAACAAACTGGCCTGACGAAACCTTCACGCATTTTTGCCTGTTGTTACGAAATTGACATAATGAGCTGCCGAAATTAATGATATAGAAAGTTAAGTGGTGTGAAAGCCTGCTCGATCTACGCCAGGCCAGATCAAAACATTTCCATTGATTTTGACCAGCAATGCCATGGCAAGGAGACTCTTATCGGGCTGCAGCGGAAAATTCGAAAATTCAGCCGATATGTTTTAATTAGGCCGAATCGATAGCGGATTAGTCGGTAATAGAGGCGATTTTCTGCTTTGGCAAGTTAACCCGATACGGAAATTGTAATTCCTATCGCCGCCTGATCAGTTTCAATCAGATTGTCGATTAGCTGTTAATTGCTGCAGCCGGGAAGCTGAGCTCAGCTAAGTGATTGCTCTGGCAACCACCCTTATACAGGGTGGGAGCCTAAAAAATCACTAGGAGGCTGATTTGAAACATCCGAGCAAAGTCGATTAACCTGCCATAGCTGCGCAGGCTCTTCATTAAAATCAACAACGTCCAAATCTCACTGATTTTCCCAAATTTCGATGATGAAAGTGAGATGCTTCTAGTCAAATATTGTCACTAATCCCCCAGCAATTGACTTTTTCTGAAAAAATTTGCGCAGAAACCTCCACTCACTGATAATCCAAACGTCCTTAAGGTCGCACTTAAGCTGACAGCTTACCATTCTTTCGCCCGAGTTTCCGTCAATAAATCCATGAAAACCTCGCTAATCCACGGGAAAAGTGCAGAATAACGCGCACATAAACGCACAAGACGAACGACAGCGCGAAACAAAAAAATCTGAAATAGCTCGAACACTTGGCGGGTTCTGGTGGTTTGGGCAATTTTTCGGGGCAAACTACCGAAAAAATTAACGCGCCATGTTAATTAAATCTAGACCTTCGCAATAACTAAATTACAAGGCCAACTAAGTAAATTCAACCAGAATATGAGATATTTGTTTTGAATGGTAGATGAATGGCGCGACTCAGTGTGAGCCGATTCGTCGAAAGGAAGACATTTAATACACACACACGCATCAAGTGGCCGCACATTGTTTAGCTATACCGAGTGAACTAGATTTTATGACTTTTAAATGCCGCAACATCCATTTGAGGTCTCCAGGCTCAAGCAATAAAACAGATTTTTTTTCCATTTCAAACGAACAAAGAGATGGACTTTCACGGTTGTTGTTTGATGCTGTGGAGTTTCTCGCTGACGTTTCGCCAACTCGAGTGGCTTCATCTTCTTGCAATGTCAGGAAAACATTCTAATCAAATAAGAATTTCACATGGCCGTTTTCGCTTTGAAGGCGTTGTCCAGTTTTGCTAGCGCAAACTTTCCGCAAACGACCAGTGGCCGCCTTAACTTAAACACCTTATAGATATAAGTTGTTGAAAAAATCTTAGTGGGTTTCAGCATGAGGCCCACCATCTATCAATCGTTGGCGCAAGAAAATCGATTGAATTTCCACTGAGAATGTTGATCGGTTTCCAAAAATCGAGCGATTTCTGCTTGTTTTCTATAACTTTCGGTCGTTTTTTACCCCTTTTTCGTAAATGTCCCAAGTTCAACATCCCACTCACTTCAAGACAAATAGTAACGTTTGCTTCTTCGATTTTCAGTGCTTTAACTTTCGTGATAAATTCTGGACAATTTGGCGAATAAACTTTTCAAAATGAGGTTTTCTCTTTGGAAATTGTTGGCCAATAAATTCCAAATTTGTGGATGTTGCTATGATTTCAATCGCTTGTCGCGTGAAATACTAATTTATTGATTGCTTTTTGTAACACTGAAATATTTTGTGGTTGTTTTCGGTAACATTAGATCGTTTCTTAATTATGTGCATTCAATTTCAATTTTCCCCTTGAAAACGGGTTTTGGAATGCATATTCTCAGCTTTTCTTGCATCAAGATTTGCCCAAATTCTGGACAATTTCAAGAATAAAATACATAAATGGATCTACGAGTTAGGAATTTTCTATTCTGTGCCTTTTTTGGCCGATAAATGCGACCAATATTGTCATTGACTGGATTAAATGAATATGAACTGTGGAATCCCTTGAAATGAGTATGAATTAAATTAAATTTGTCGCCCTTTATGAATACTTAAAATAATGCTTCAACCATTTCAAACTTCCGAAAGTTTTCAATTATTTTCCTAAAATGTTCAAATTTTCATTTTTAACATTCGATTAATTGTGCAATAGCTATTTTCGAAACCAACAAAGAAAAGTCGAAGTTTTTTTAGCGTAAAATCGTGCGTAATTCTGGACAATTTCGCGAATCAGATTTAATACATGAAACAACAAATTCGAAAATTTTCACTTGGCGCCCTTTTGCGGCCAACTCGTTGGGTTGAGAATCGATTTATTGTAGTTTCAAATCGAAAACAAACAACAAACTAATTTGCCGCGCTTGCTTAATACTCAAAATTTTGTATCAACCGTTTCCCATTTCGAAAGCTTTTAGCCTTTTTTAATTTTTTTATTTCGATTTTGTTTTTTACCTTGTCACCGGGACTGTTTCCAGACAACTGCACGTTTTCAGCGGTTGCTTTCAAATTCGATGGTAAAGATTCTTCAGCAAATGAAATCAAATTGAAAAAATGTATTGCTTCAGATCACTTTTTAAAGAGTGGGTTCTGTTCACTTTTTTCCACTTTTACTCCAATAAATTTATTGGAAGCCAAAGTCCATCTTTCCTCGGCTTTTCTTGTTTAAAATTTGTGTTCGATTCTGGAAAATTTACCGAATGAAATCATTAAATGAATGGACGAATTCGATGTTCGAATTTATGCAAAAAATTTTGATTTCGCCATTTCCTAATTCGAAAGTTTTCAGTTTTATATTCCGACTTTTTCAAATTTGCGTTTCTAATTCCAAAACATTTACTAAGGCAGTTTTCACGAGCCAAAACGCGCCTAATCTCCGCTTGGTTTAATGTTCAATAGTTGACCATTCTGGACAACTCGGAGAATAACATTCAATACAACATTTTCAATGGTTCGAATTGGCTTTAAATTATTTTGCTAATTCTTCAAAAACTGATTTTGTCGTTTCAAAGTTCCACTTTACCACAGTTTTTAGAAAGTTCACCCTTCCACTCGCATTCGTGCTTTTTTGCGCAATAATTTCTCAAATTTCAATTTTTTTTTAGTTTCTTCTTAGACAGTTTTCCGAAAGCAAGTGTACAATTTTTCCGTTTGCTTTCAAAGATAATGGCAGAAATTCAGGTCCATTAGGCGGATAAAATCTGTAAAGTTTCTTCGGCGTTTCAAAAATGCTTCCAATTTATTTGTGGTTTATATATGTGGTTAAACCTTAATTTTTGCCTTTGAACGTTCTCCTCTGACACAATTTGAGAATCCAACTTCAAATTCTCCTGCTTTTATTGATTTTAAATTCTCATTCAAATCTGGACAATCTGACGAATATACAATAACAATTGACAATAAATCGGTAAACCGTACAGCAATCTTTGGCAAGTTACGAATTATTAGCCAGAGAGGGAGAGTGGTCTCCAAATTGAACCGTTATCAAGATTTTTTTATATTGCCGCAAAACTTTCCAAATTCTGCCGATAACTTTCAAATAGTTTTTGCTGCATTCGAGTTAGTTTGCTTATAAAACACAGTTTTTTAATTGCATCTTTACATCGATATGCCCGGCCGCTTCCAAAGGCATTTTGCGCCGAAATCGGGCCTGAAAACCTCAAACGTCGAGAGCACTTTTTTGTGAAAAAGTACTTCAACTGGTCGAAAAGTGGTTGAAAAATAGCGCAAATTTTAAAATTCTAATAATTGTGCTTATGCTCCTATATCCAGTCTTAGCGTGACCAAAATCTGAAGTTTCACACTCACTACAAGGCAAGAACGTCCCTAGAATATCAATTCCAGATTTTAAAAAAGGCAAATCTAAATGTAAATACCATTGCTCGAGTTATTTGCAGCCTCGTTGATATTGAGTGTCTAATAATTAAAAATCTGTAATTTGTTTGTTTTTTTTATAATTTTTTCTACTTGAAAAAAAATGATAGCTAACAATCAACTTAAAAAAGTGCATTTAAATATTTTGTAATATATCGAGCGCCTCCAAACTTTCTCGTTGTTTTGAGCAAACCTGTGCCTTTAAAATACCCCAAAAAGAGAAACCCATCGGGTACGCATCGGGAAAGTTGGCCGTCCATTGTGTCGAGCAAATGAAACCCCGAACGTTTCTTTTGAACCACATCAATATAACCAATATCCAGGGTTCCGAGCCAAATTTTGGTTTGCCCAGGGCTTCAGCACACCTTCTAGAATCTTCAGAAACGACAGTATTCGGCGTGCAAGCCAAGAAACTCCTTTGCTTTTTGGACTTTAACTTTTTTTTGTATCGGCAGTAATTTCCTGTACTTTTTCGAACTTATAAGACGTAACATGCATCTCGTTCTTCAATATGTGTTGCATTGGTTCAAGCGATGTGTGCAGCCTTTTTTCCTCCACTCCGACGCGGATTTTCTTCTATTCTTGCCTTCACTTTTCGAATGTTTTCCGGTAATGTTGCAGTCTTTCGGGACCACCTCCATGGCGGTTTCCAAAGCTGCAGGCACCGCTGTATCGAGTTATAGTCCGAAACGCAAACTTTCTACCCATTTCAAGACGTTTGGGCTGATTAATCATGTTCTTCTGAGACTTCGTAGCCAAATGACGCGCAATGTTAGGTTTGAATTCCATTGCGTATAACTTCTTTTTAGTTCAACTTAAAGCGGAATGCTTTTACACATGTATAAAGAATCTAATGGGCTATCACTAGTCAAATTTGCAGACATCCAGCACCATTAGTGCACGAGATACATGCGTAAGTTCAGAGGACATTTCATATCAGCCGCCCTGTAATGTACGAGCTGGCGCTCTCAAACGAAAAAACCGGCCGACTTCAACAGCACTTTGCGAGAAAATGGAAAATCGCAGCGAAATAAATCCGCAGAGCGTTTTTGCGGAAAAACCCCCAAGTTTCCTCTGGTAGACCAAAAGCAACTATAATGTTCTTCAAAGGAAAGTTAAAGATCTAACTCTCACACCAACTATTTACCAAGCTTTTTTGCAGGTAAATTTTTACCCTCTTGCTTTGACCTTCTTGTTTAACTTTAGCCATCATCAATGCATGTGGGAAAAGCACACATAATCAAGGTGTCACTACCGGACAATCGCAATCAATTGACCTTTCACCGCCACCTCTTAATCAAATAATATTCCACTGATCCCGTTCGGGCGTTCAAACAACGTTAAAGCAAATTAAGTGAGAAAAAGCATCCCTTGCCAGGCCATGCAATGTATACTTGGGGGTGTATTTATTGTGTCAACTCACCCCCGAAACCGAATATGTTCGATGTGCGCTCAAAACACGTGTACCAGCCTTAGTAGGCACGTGCTGGAGATGTTCATTTGTTTGCAAGTCGTTAATGTCTTTTCGGTAGAGTCAAGGTAAATGAATCCGAAACGTATTTTCGGTGTGGGAAATTCGTCCTGACTCACTTCGATATTGCAACCGTAAAAAAATCAACATTTAAATCCAGATCGACCTAAATAGTCGGCTGGGAAAGAGACGGTTTTATGGCTGGCATTGGCCAACAGTCGAAATGTTCCACTTCTTTTCGAAAGTGGGCCATATTTCGAAACGCACTAGTGTTTGCGAAGTTGCCAGCCGCAGCCTGGTTTGCTTGATTATTTTGGGAGCACCCTAACAAAAGAGGGACGAAGGGGTGTTCGATATAATGCATCATAAACGCCGAGTGTAAAGTCTTGTTCCGGCGAACGTTCAACCGGAAACCGGAAATTCGGGCCGACGGCCGAATAAAGAGCGTCCCGG